TCCCAACCTCCAGTTCTGCAGCCAGATGCCTAAACCACTGCCTCCCTCTCTGAACCAGAATCACTAGAACAGAAAAAGATCCTCTTCAACCAGGCAACATGGAATTGAGCTCAGAGGTGTGTGAGAACAGCCACCCCCAGCAGGCCTCAGTTAGGGAAGAGAGGAGAGAAGGAAGGTGGATGTCATTACAGCTTTAGAGACCCCAGTCTCAAAATTCACACCAACCTCCTGAGCCCAAAAGGACAGCTACTCTGGCCAGTGACAGCCGCACTATTCTCAAACACACACACACACTCTATTTCTGAGCTTTAAAAAACAAACCTGAATCCTTTCCCATTATGTCTCTGAGGAAAACAAGATGCTTTCCTGAAACGTTTTGCTTTTGTCCCACTGTTCTGCCCTTCTCAGAATGCACAATGGGGTCTCCGTTGCAATTGAGAAGGAAGGAGGAAAGGGGAGAGAAAAGGGTTCCCGCAGAAGCAGCAGAGGTAGGTGATTCTCTGTAAGGGCTCGTGGGATGGGCAGAGAGGAAGAGCCGTAGAAACCCAGTAAATTTCTATGCACCCAAAAAGGCATCCATACCTTTTGCAGGTAATCAGAAGTCTGTCTTGGTCTCCAGAGTTTCAGGGGGGTGGGATTCCTCTTCCCAAGAGGCGTGGGGGAGTATTAGATTTGTCCTTTGTGCAGACTGATGTACGTGCAACTGAGCCTTTGAGATCCCTAAATTTTCACATCCCCTCAACACATATGCTCGTTAACTTCTTACCACAACATGAAACAGAGGGGTCATTTCTGCTTCTGCTCTTCCAAACACAGTCCCTTTAAGTTGTCCTCCTTCTGCTCATCAGTTGCTGCACCCCCACTGGCCACTTGCAGCGTGCAGTTTGCTGCTGCACTGATGGTGGCAGGAAACCCGTCTGAAATGAAAAACGGGGCATATATTATATATTAACTGCATGACTTGTTTACAGGTAGGGTCATGCTTCCAGGATAGTGATTCTACTTGTGACTTAAGTGTGCCAGGAGCACTGCAACAACTTTTTCTCCTCCTCCTCGTAATTCAGTAGCAAATTCCTCAACAGGGGAGGGGGCAGTATGCAGAAGAATATGGTGGTTGTTTTTTTTTAAAAAAAATTCTGATAATAATTTTTTGTTGTGAACTGCCCAGAGTGGCCTGGGCTGCCAGATGGGTGGTATAGAAATCCAATGAATGAATGAATGAATGAATGAATGAATGAATGAATGAATGAATGAATGAATGAATGAATGAATGAATGAATGAATGAAATTTTTTCCTTTTATTTCTTTTACTTTTAGAATACCTCCTGCCTAATGACCAAGGTAGTGTACAGTGCATTAAAGATGCAAAGGGTAAGCAAGTGGAGAAACCATACCGGTGTCAGGAATGTGGGAAGTTCTTTGCTTGGAGAAGTAACCTTTTGGTCTACAAGAGAATCCACACAGGAGAGAAACCTTACAAATGCCAAGATTGTGGGAAATGTTTTGGTTGCAAGGGAAACCTTGTGATGCATGAAAGAATCCACACAGGAGAGAAACCATACAAATGCCAAGAGTGTGGGAAAAGTTTCACTCAGAAGTCAAACCTTGTGATGCATCACTCAGTACACACAGGAGAGAACCCATACAGGTGTCAGGAATGCGGGAAACGTTTTGCTCAGAATTCACCACTTGTGAAGCATAAGAGAATCCACACAGGAGAGAAACCATACAGATGCCAAGAGTGTGGGAAATGTTATACCCGCAATGAAGACCTTGTGATCCACCAGAGAAGCCACACAGGAGAAAAGCCATACAGATGTAAGGCATGTGGGAAATGTTTTGCTCATACTTCACACCTTGTGAGTCATCAGAGCCTCCACACGGGAGAGAAACCGCACAAGTGTGACGTGTGTGGGAACTGTTTTGCTCAGATTGCGAATCTCATGACTCACAAGAGGGTCCACACAGGTGAGAAACCTTACCAGTGCCACGTGTGTGGGAAATGTTTTGCTCAGATTTCAAATCTTGTGACTCACAAGAGAGTCGACACAAGAGAGAAACCACACAAATGCCAAGAGTGTGAGAAATGTTATAATTGCAAGGAAGACCTTTTGATCCACACAGGAGAGAAATCGTGCAAATGACATGCGAGCTAAATTTTTGATCCATCAGGGAGTCCATTTAGAGGAGAAACTCTGAAGGTCCAGTGGCGTGGCTTATGTTTGTCTTCCAGCACTTTAGAGTCTGCATAGGATGGAAACTTTCTCAAAATCTTAATTGTAAAAATATTTTTACTAGACCTTTGGAGTGTCTGTGAAAAAAGGAGGGCATTTCTTTTTTAAAGTATGCAGAATAATAGAAATGGCTTGTGTTTTTCAGAGGAGGCAGTATTCAGAAAAAGGATACTTTGGGGCAGTAATATAAATAAATATAGGATGCTTGTAGATACCAGTGATCCGGACTGTGTTCTACTTGCAGTATCCAGGGGAACTAAATTGGTGGGGCTCGTCAGCCATGGAAGGCAGCCCATCTAGGAGAATGAAAACTCTGATTTCAAACCTCCACTGCCTTGTGGCTATATCCATTCATGGAAGAGGCTTCAGGAGTTAACCTCGAGGCAAAATCCGGAGCTGGAGTCCCGGAGGCAGCATGTGTCGTTCTGCCAACTCCTGCGACGTTGCTGGAACCAGTTGTATTGGCTCTTGCCTTTCCATTGGACCATTTCAGCAATGTGGAGAGGAGGGATCTGCTGCTTGGGTAACAGCCTATCCTCCATACTACCTTACCCGGGCTTCATGCTCTGGAGAGGACACTCCTCGATTCAGAGCATGTCACCATAGTCTCTCAAGACTGAAGGATGCCTATGAAAACTTTACCATTGAGTTTCTGGAGACAATATGGAAACAGGGGTTCTGACATTCATATGTGATGGCTTTGCTGCTCCCATGTAGGCAATCTGGTCTGGAATGGACTCAAGCGTGGCAGCAGACAACATTGGCAATTATAGGCCTGTCGCCAATGTTTCTTTCCTTAGAAAGGTTGTAGAAAGGGTGGCGGCTGATCAGCTTCAGGCTCTCTTGGATGAAACCAGTGCCTTGGATCCGTTCCAGTCAGGCTTCAGGTATGGAAACAACATTGGTTACCCTGCTTGATGACCTGTTGAGGGAAGCCGATAGGGGTAAAATGTCCTTGGTTGATCGGTGGCCTGGCGCTTGCCTGGCTCCAGTTCTTCTTGGAGGACCATTCCCAGAGAGTCCAGCTTGGAGGGAGTGTCTTGGCCCCGTGGAGCCTCAATTGTGGGGTGCTACAGGGCTCAATCATCTCCCCAAAGCTGTTTAATATCTATATGAGGCCTCTGGGTGGGGTCATCTGGGGGTGTGGAGCTTCGTCATCAGTACGATGATGACACACAGCTCTACATCTTTTTTTTCTTAGCAGCAGTGGATGCCATTGTGCCCCTTGAGCACTGCCTTAGTTTTCCCTCATCCTTGGTCTGAATGGGTTCTTCCCATGGGGTTTCCCAGGACAGTCTGCCCGTGGCTTGTTGTCCCTTCTTTGCGCCTCGCGCCGGTGCCACTCTTAGTTTTCTCCTTCGTTCACCCTCTCCTGTCTTGCCCCAGTAAGGTGGTTTCCCTTCCACTCCTTCTCCTTCACCCAACACACTTTCTCCTCCTCAGTTTCTAACTATCCCCTTCCCCCTTTCCTTTTCTCCCTTCTCCCTTTCCTGCTGAAATGCCGCCCTCTGGTGGCTCATTCTTATCCTTTCTGCTTCTGCTCTTCCAAACACAGTCCCTTTAAGTTGTCCTCCAGGTTGGGCATCTGTCCCTCAATACCTTCAGCCGAGGAAGCAGATGGTACACTCTGAGGATTGCCCTTTAGGGCAGGTCCACAACCCCTGGTCCATGGCCCGGTACCAGGCTGTGGCCTTGGCAGGACTGGGCCGCGGAGACAGATCTCCCACCCCCTCCACATACGCATGTATGATCCCCCACATACACACACCGATGCATGCATGTCCCACCCATGGATGCACAGATGTACGCACCACCCACCCACGCATAGATGCATGCATGCTGCCCCCAGAGGCATGCACGGACACCCCGCCTACACATGCACAGACACCGTACCTATACACACATACGAGCAATGACCGCCCTGCCTCCTGAACCAGTCTGCGGTTCGAAAAACATTGGGAACCACTGCTTTAGGGTACTCTCTTCCTCATAGTACAAAGTTGTTCAAGGGAAACCTAAGTTCAAATCTGTGTTGGGCTCACTGGGTGGCCAACTGATGCTATTAGGAATCTTCCCCACCACCACCTCATTAGAATAAAATGGAAGATACAGTTCCTTGGAAAAAAGGATAAAAAGCATAATAAAAAGCAGGATTCAGAGGTGGTCGCCTGACATGAGAAACAACATTAATAGGAAGAGTAGCCTTTAATATGATAACTCATCTGAACACATTTTTTTAAAAAAATTCAAGAACATGTCCGTATAACGCACACACACACACACAAATACCCAGGATTTTCTTTATCAAAAGCATTGGTTGGCTAACTTACAAAAGACACTGCAGATAAAGTACATAAAAACCTTTCAGAACAAGCAGCTGAGTCAGTTTAAAAGGCAATGGCAAATCTCACAAAATGAATATAGAAATGGCAGTGCCATACCCTTGGCAGCTGCCTTTCATTGACTTCTGCTAATGCAGCCGATCTTGGATAATTCCCATCTGTGGTCTTGGGGTAGCCTGAATGAGTCCGAGGGAGCCCAAATTCTGAATCCCAAAGTGGAATTGAGATTCGACTTCTGCTAATGCAGCCGATCTTGGATAATTCCCATCTGTGGTCTTGGGGTAGCCTGAATGAGTCCGAGGGAGCCCAAATTCTGAATCCCAAACCGGAATTAAGATTGCCAGAAGAAATATCAACAACCTCCGATATGCAGGTGATACCACTCTGATGGCAGAAAGTGAGGAGGAACTAAAGAACCTCTTAATGAGGGTGAAAGAGGAGAGTGCAAAAAACAGTTTGAAGCTCAAAATTAAAAAAACCAAGATCATGGCCACTGGTCCCATCACCTCCTGGCAAATAGAAGGGGAAGATATGGAGGCAGTGACAGATGTTACTTTCTTGGGCTCCATGATCACTGCAGATGGAGACAGCAGCCACGAAATTAAAAGTCGCCTGCTTTTTGGGAGGAAAGCGATGACAAACCTAGACAGCATCTTAAAAAGCAGAGACATCACCTTGCCGCCAAAGGTCCACATAGTCAAAGCTATGGTTTTTCCAGTAGCAATGTATGGAAGTGAGAGCTGGACCATAAAGAAGGCTGACCGCCGAAGAATCGATGCTTTTGAATTGTGGTGCTGGAGGAGGCTCTTGAGAGTCCCCTGGACTGCACAGAAAACAAACCTATCAATTCTGAAGGAAATCAACCCTGAGTGCTCACTGAGGCTCCAATACTTTGGCCATCTCATGAGAAGATAAGACTCCCTGGAAAAGACCCTGATGTTGGGAAAGTGTGAAGGCAAGAGGAGAAGGGGACGACAGAGGATGAGATGGCTGGACAGTGTCATCGAAGCTACCAACATGAATTTGACCCAACTCCGGGAGGCAGTGGAAGACAGGAGGGGCTGGCGTGCTCTGGTCCATGGGGTCACGAAGAGTTGGACATGACTAAATGACTAGACAACAACAACCTAGACAGGGAGGATGCCAAAGTAGTTTATTGGTTTCCTGTCACATCGCCCTATGTGGCTAAGGCATCCAGATACGCAGACGCAAAGGCTTCAAACAACTTGCGGACAGGGAACCTGAGGAAGGGTCAGTGATTACCACATATGCTCTTCCTGGAGCTGGAACGCTATAGAAGACAGCAGACAGTTGGCGTAGCAAGTGGAAATGGAGAAACCCAGCTGAGTGTCACAGAAGTTGAATGAAATTGCTGTGACACCCGTTTTTGAATTTTTCTTTTCGTCCCTTATGACCAGTGGTTCCCAACCTTGGGTCCTCAGATATTCTTGGACTTAAAACTCCCAAAGCCTGCGCCTCCAGCTAGTTTCTGGGAGTTGTAGTCCAAGAACATGTGGGGACCCAAGTATTTAGTCATTTCTGTGACCAATACTACATCAAAGAAATGCATGATAGTTTTTATTGTGAGGACATCACAACGTTACATATGGACATCAGATAAGAAAAGACATTTTTCATTTCCTTTAGCAAGTTGTTGTTTTTAACTCGAAGCCCCAGGAGATCTTTGTACAGTTAGAAAAAGGGCTCTTGTAGGGATTCATTGCCACCCAAACTCCCCATATTAGTGTTATTTGTCAACCTGGCCTGATAAGTAACCTTAGCAAAGATGAGAAAGTAAAGGTGCTTGCTTCAAGGGTCAAGAGCGAGGCGGGCTTTTCCAAACAAGTAAAAGAAAGGGAAGAGTGTCTCTCCAGAGAAGGTGCCTACGGAGTAGGCGAAGAGCGGGGCGGCCGTGTCAGCATCAAAAAAGGTCACCCAACCCCCGTCAACGTTCAGGGACACCCGGATCCTCTTGAGCTCTCCGTGCAAAGTCAAAAGAGTGAAATAAGGCGGGTTGTAGGCCGTGTAGTTACCTTCCCATTTCCCCACAGCCCAGAACCCCTCCTCAGGACTGAAGTCCACATCCCCGTGCCTCTTCACGGACTTTTTGGCAACCCCCAGCCCCCAAGCGTCTTCGCTTCCAACTGTCACTTCCCAGTAGTGCCGGCCTGAGGCAAATCCTTCGCGTCCCAGCACAAATGGCCACTCATCGAATCTTTCGGGATTTTTGGTCAGATGTCGATAAAACTCGCCCATGCGTGCCATTTTGCGGTCCTCAGACAGGATGAGTTGAGGGTGAGCGGTCGTTTGGTCGAAAGTTACCTCTGCTGTTGGGTGTGGGGAGACAGAAAGGGACAAGAAGGAAAAAAATTGAGAGGTCTGGAATTTTCCAGGAAAAGAGGA